GCACATGCTACACTTTCTGTGCATAACCAGGTCTTACCCAACGGTCCTCGAGGTCTGTGCTTGAAATGGCCTCTTCTGTGAGATTCCTGAATGGCGTTTAGCAGCGCAGGCATCTGCTCTCCAAAACGCCGCAGCCGATTGGACCGACTGCTCTCCATTGTCTGCAGATTCCTCCTGTTGGCTTCAATGGACCTCTGGAGAACCTCCTGCTCTCTCCTGAAAACAAACAGAGGGGCAAAATACAGTCATTTCTAGAGAATAGCTTCAATTAGAAACTGCAAATACATTCCTTTAAGCTACCCTAGAATCAGCAATTATTGGTTATTGCATGTACAATGATTTTCCTTTGGTGCATTGTTTTACCTCATTTTTCCTTGTTCTTCTTTGGCGCGACTGATGGCATGCTGATACTGGTCAATCTGTTGGCCCAGTGTAGAGATCTGATGCTTCAGGTTTTCCAGCTCAGTCTGGATCTGCTCGATCCTTTCTGCTCTGGCTTTGCTCTCTGCTCCCGTTTTCTGACTGATGCTAGAGGTAAGAAAAGGGGTGTGATGAAATAAAGCACAGGCGAGCCAAAACAGAATAAATAACTTTTCAACCCGAATTTAATGCAGAAGACAACTAAATAAGATGACACAAAACCTCAGCTTGAGATCTTTTATCCTCGACATCAGCTGAGTTTTGTCCTTTTCCAAGTCCCTCAGGTTGGCTTTGCATCTGTGGACTGTGACCTGATGTGCACACGTAAATGAAGAGTTAAATATTCACAAGTTGACGTACAAGCATCACAAAGATAACAGTCATTTTTTAAAACTAATTTTGAATTAATTATATGACAGAATGGTGATGCAGAGCTCCTATACTGATGACGACAAACAAACAAACAAAAAAACACATCAGATGATGGAAAGCCACTGCATCTGCTGAGGAACACAAATGCACTTATAAACTAAGCCTCAGACTTGCTACATAAAATCATTAAGTACTTGTAAAAAGTGAACGAGCCGACCATCAGAAATCCACCTTATGCTGCGGTTAGTGCACCCAACTCTCACCTCGCTGGACTTTAAAAGGTTGTTGCGTTTCTGAGACTCAGTCTTGAGCTCAGCACATTTAGGTTGAAGCTCCTGGACTTGCTGTGTGATCCTCTCTAGCTGTTCCTGGACCTGTTTGTACTTTTCCTCTGCTTCATCGACCTTATTCTGCATGATCAAAAAGGTTTAGGGTTAAAAGGTTACAGAATGAACAGTCCAAAAGTCTGAGCCATAAAACTGAAGTAGCAATTACTTAATTAGTAGTAATTTGTGTTAATTCTAAAAGAATTATTAACATTTGAGATGTGTTATATGTTGATTTCAGGGTTACTACCGAAGAAGTTTCATACCTTCCATTCGTTCACCTTGTCGTCATATTTCTCTGTGGATCGTCTGTCTGCCTGCAGCTTCTCCTTCATTGGCTCTAAGTCCTTCTCCATCTCAGTCACCTGCAACATTTAACATATTTGTACAGGAATTAAAATTCAAACAAGTGATCTTAACTAAACAGGGAAAGGGAAATACTGGAAAATTGCGGGAAGTTGGAGGAAAATGGTCTCACCAAAGCCCAAGCCATCTGCTTCTGCAACTCCTCCAGTTTGGTGTGCATTTCATCAAGTGAAGCCAGGCTCCTGTAACGGTCCTCCTTCTCCAGGTACTTCCGTTTTAGGTCTTTCAAGCACTAGGAATGACCACAAATTAATATTAAAAGATGCTTTAAAACAAAACTTAGCTGTGCAATCCAAATAAAAGGGTTTAAATTCAAGAAATGTAATAATATCACTACTGCCCATTTCAGCGACACAAATACATACTTCACTGTGTTGCTCAACTTTATCCTCTGTGAGATGCTTAGTGGTTTTGATGTAGATAAAGTCCTCTCTCATCTGCTCCAACTGGGTGGCTTTCATAAAAAACTGCAGAGAGAAAAATAGATTAAAAACAACCGGGGCTTATTTATAGTTAACAGTTAACAAAACAACGCAAATTCAAACAAGGAGATTGTGCTGCAAATTAGGGAGCAGGCTAACAAGATGATCAAGCTGGTATAGAATAGAATAAACCTTTATTATCCTACGGATAAGAAATGTGGGTGTTACACAGCTCTTATAGCAAGGGGAATATATAAGGTCCTGTATACATAAGCAACTGAAGTTTGTATATGGTTTGCCATTTTACCAATCAAAACAAAACTGCAGATGAGGCTGGTGACAGCATCATTAGATATGTATATATGTGATCAGAAATTCCAAATGTACCAGAACAACATCTATACCAAATCTCTTCCATGCTAAATCTAAACTCTTATTGGCATTAGATTCGAATCAAAGAAGAGGGTTTTTGTTGCTAGAAGCTACTAACCAAACACATTTGGGCAGTCTTTTGTTACATGCAGGTAAAGAGTCTGTGTGGAGAATAAGAGAGGTGAAATAGAAAAGCTATTTTGTCCACACCCCCACCCCCGCAATTTCCAAACAAATATTTGCATTTGGAAACAATGACTGGCAGATGAAACAGAGTGTTGGCCTGCCGGTTGGTTTTATATGTACTGGCCACACCAGAAGCCCTACAAATAGGCACAAACTTAATTGCCTTGACTGACAATCATTTTCATAGGTAGGTACCATAAAGAAACACGTTTCACGGTGTAGCAAACTGTCCACCCAATGCTGCTGTGTGGCTTAAACATGCAAGTACTCTGAACTAACCTTGTACTTGTCCCCCTCTCCTTTAGAATGTAGGAAGTACTTGCTCATTTCCTGAGTGAGAACTGATACAGGATTGTTGACCTTTGGGAGAGAAAACACATTAATAAGCATGACAGTAACACAGGTTCACGTGACACACTTTAACAACTGACATGGCCCCACAATTTGTTGCTTAAGTTTCAGCTCAAATGTTGAAACTGTACAGATAAATACAGCTAAAATCACAGCATAGTCAAAAGTGCAGTTTAACCAGAACATCAATGTGTGAAGGACAAAAACAGAGTTGGCTGAAAGTTGGCGGTAGAGCATCTCTGAGTTACATGAAAGAAGACCTGCATCTCTCATACCTGAATATTGAAATTATCCAGAATAGAGACAAGTTCTTCCTTTTTGGTTGAGATTAGCTGACCTGTAAGAGAGAGAAAAAACAAAAAGAAAAACATTGTGAACATTCACTTTACTCTCACTGACGATGTTCCAGACTCCATTAAATGACTCATCTTTGTTCTTTCTGTTCTTATTTTAAATCAATGGACAATTATAAATGTACTTATGGAGAATTTACTGCAAATAGTTTGCTGCAATATCTAAATTTACAAACTCCTTCGCATTTTTACCTGATTTACTTCTCAGCTTATATGTTCTCAGTCCGTCCCGAGTTATCCTTAGATCTAGAATAATAGCCGACCCATACACCTCTGGTTTGTAAGCATCCCTTCCTTTATTACGCAATGTGATGGAAACATCAGCTGAACTGAGGAGACAGAAATGCACATCAAGGGTCAGATACTTGCGTTTGTTATTTGTAATTACTTTTCACATTTATGATGTGCTCTCTCATCACAAAATAAGATAACAGATAGTGCGTGACAGATAAAAAAATTATTGTGAAATCACCTTTCTCCTTCCTTCACGAAACCCCTGAGGGATGATCCTCTATTTGTAGCCTGGGCATTCCCGCCTAAGGCAACTATGAGAGCTGTCAAAACGGCGCTCTTTCCACCTGTCACAAAACAATTGGCACACAAAAATTGAACAGACAGGACACTGTAATAAACAAAGATTTATGGACGATAATAACAGCCACTGAGTTTCCACTTCACATTTTATAAATGCACCGAAACAACTTCAAACCACTAATAACACCATATAAATAATGACATTTGCAGACATGTGCAACAGAAAGCACCAGCACTGAGAAAGCAACAAGATCTCACTAAACCAAAGTGATTAACTAGTAATTATTAGTTAATAATTTTTCAACTATTTTCAGCAATGATAGAAGCCTTTACATGATAATTACAGCACACAATAGAGACATTTTGGCCAAAATGTAAATATAGGGTTGCAGCCTGCATTGGCATGAAACGAGGGGGATTCAGAAGCCTCGTTACATCTCCGATCTGCCAGATAAGATAGTGCACTTACTTCCGTTGTTGCCAACAACAAAGTTGACATTGGAACCAAAGGTAAACGGGCCAAGGAGCGAGTGGCACATAAAATTCTTCAGAGTGATACTTTCTACAATCCCAGCATCACTCACCACCTCCGCACCACACTGCAACTGCACACAAAGTAACAAGTATCCACACTGTGAGCCTCTATCCTTTGCATTCTCAGAGAATTATTTAAGAAATAAGTAAATACACGAGGGTGAAATTAAACAAAAACTGGAAATCAAACAAAACTAGCGTGCTTCACTGCACGGTAGACGTACATTACTCAGAATGGGATCTTCCTGGTCACTGTCAGCAGCATTTTCACTTTCATTCACAGATCTGGATCTCTTGTTGGGATTTTCATTGACGGAGGTGCCCTTCCTTTTAGACATCGTAGACACCCCGTGTTGCTTTTAACGGTAAAAAGAAGAAGAAGAAGAAGAAGAAGTAATAATAATAGAAAGCGACAGAGTGAAAGAAACCTGATACACATATAAAACTACTAGCACAGTCAGACATCTATTTAAACTGTCGAATCAGCTCTCCATCTAAATTCTGCCGTCACGTCGGCTGCTAGTTAACGGATATGAGTTTTAAGGCATTGCCTGCAGTTTAAACCGCGACATTAGTAGCTTAATTAAGTTTAGGAAAAGTTACACACGTTACAGGACTAGCTTAGCTGGCTAACTAAGGCTACATGCTAAAAAGAAAGTCAACGACTGTCTATCCAAACATGAGTCGAGTTTGCTGCGGGTTAGTTTTGTGCCGCCTTAAGTAACTGGAAGCGCAGGTATGGTATTTTGCGGAGTGACAACTGACCTACCTTGCGGTACCCTCACACTCTCCGACGCAACTGATGGGAACGACCACCAGACCGGCTATCGAATTCGCGCCCGCTATCCGCTTTGAAATCTCGCGGGAATACGCGAGATCGAGAAATCTGAACCGCTATTTAAAAAAAAGTAAAAAAATAAAGAAAATGAAATATTATAGACTTTAACAATGAAGAAGAGAGTTAAAGAGAAGCAACGTGTGAGAATAAATTAAATGAAACAAACAAACAGTTGCCAGATTAATTCTTTAAGTAACAACGAATTAGTGCTGTAGTTGTGCTTTAATTGTACTAATGCTTTTGTACCCTTTCCTTTCGCAGTCGTAGCACGCGGAAAGCTCCTGCTGTTTGTGTGTGTGTCAGATGATTATTTTACTGTACTCGGATGATTCTCCGGTGGAAATGTCTGTATTTAAACACACATTTACTAGAATTGAATGCAACGAGCATTTTCTAATTAAATATTATTGTCAAATGAACTCGCATATAGCTCTTTTTTGTCTCTTCAGTTCTTTGTATTTGCCTGGTTCCACTCATTGTAGACGTTAATATCACAACACTCTTTAGGCTGTTATTTGGGGTAGGAACCTGCAGTCATGTGCAGCATTTATCCACCCATCATCCAATTCACGGCCACGCAATTTTCATTTTCATTTAATCAGCACAGAGGACCGCCAACACCCTGCTACCTTCACTACCTTCAGGTCTACAAAACCATCAAGGCCTCTTCTCATCCAAGCCACCATCTGTTCACTCTGTTGCATTCTGGAAGTATCAAAGTACTGAACTCTGTCTCATGACAAGGTGCACTACCACCACTCGGAACACCCTGTGTAATATTACTAAAGACTGTGAAACAGATATTCATATGTGTGTCAAACCCATTTCTGACTAAAACTGGATAAGAAAAAAACCTTAATAAAGTATACACGATCGTTGTTGAATGTTAAATTTATTTCAATCCAGGAAAAAGAAAATCAAATGCTTATGAAATGAATGAAATGTGTATGGTGAAAGTTACTGGTAAATAATGATACAGACAAAAGAGCTTTTATAATTAAAGATACAGTCTTTGGAAACATAAACGAAAGAAGTCAATGTAATTTTTTTTAAATGTAATTGTATTGCAGACTCAGATTACCACATCACGTTAAGTACAATGACAATGCTGTAGTCAAAAGTACTAATCAAGCTGTACGCCATTAGCTCCAGGCAAGTCGCTTAAGGCCAAAAACCTGTTCAGCTTGAACTCAAAGTCAATCGGGCGTTCACTGGGAGGCCTGTAGTTCCCCTTCATTACAGTGCTCAGGTAGGGGATGAGCATGCAGTTCTCTTCAAATGAGGCCAGCTTCTTTTTGTACATCTGGCAAATGGAGTCTGTACTCCTGTGGTTGAAAGCTATAACAATGTAAAATTGGAATTATTACTTAAGTAGGAAAAAACACATGAACAAGTTCGGTGCTGGAAGCATATAACAAGTCTTAAAAGGTGAATGAGATACATTGTACATAGTAAACTTTGATAGGAAAACATTTCAGAATGAGGTAAAGCAGCACATAAAATCTTTACTTTAAACTTAAAGTAAAGAGCGATCGTGGCTCAAGAGTTGAGAGTTCGCCTTGTAATCGGAAGGTTGCCGGTTCGAGCCCCAGCTCCAACACGCTCGGTCATTGTGTCCTTGGCCATCACCAGTATGTGTGTGTGAATGGGTGGATGACTGGATGTGTAAAGCACTTTGGGGTCCTTAGAGACCAGTAAAGCGCTAAATAAATACAGACCATTTACCATTTTAATCATCCTAATATTTCTCATAATATATTAAATAAAGGTTTAAATATAACATTCCTACCTTTCAAATACAAGGCCACATAACTGAGAGCTGATCTCTTTAAACTGAGATAAGGATGCTTTGGTTTGAGACACCCGGCAGCTGTCATTGCCTTGATCACTGCTTCTGCCACACCCTAAAAAATACAATGTGGTTGATGGATGTACTTTTAAAAATCTCAGCAGACAGGACGATACTGCAATATTTTCCATGTGATACAGAGTTTCTGACCTGCTCCAGGTAGCCCAGCGTTGGAAGGGAGGTGAGATGTACAGGTTCAGAAAGGGGAGGAACTTTAATGGGCAGCTTTTGGGCCCAGTAGGTTTCAGGAGTCCTTAAATAAATAATTTCACATTTCAGTGAATAGACCAAAGGTTTACACACCACCCACTTTCTTTGTAAGTGTAGCTCAAAGTAGTTTGTAAAAAAGTGAAGTGAAAAAAGAAAACATTAAAAAAAGGCACACGTTTTTCAAATATACAAAGAAATAACACCTCATGAACTTGTCCCGTTTCTCCTTGGTCTCAAAAATATAAATTCGTTCTCTGTACTCCACAGCATATTCCATCTTTCCTCGAACCAGAGCTTCGTACCTAAGAACAAATAAGACTTCCATGTGAAAAAAATGTCACAGAAGACATATTCAATATTTCTGACATACTGTGATGGAATAAAGTATTTAGATTTTAAATGCTACAAAAAAGAGAAGATCCTTAGGATCTTATGTATTCTTGTATCTTGTATCTTTCTTTCTTTCTTTCTTTTTTTTAGCAATTTGAAGCATATTTCTCAGTGACACAGTGGATAATGTACCTCTGCTTTCCATCCAGGTAAGTAACAGGACAGAAGCCCTTCATCTCAACTTGCTGTGGAAACCTGTTCTTCACCTGTATCTCAGTCAGCTTCCTTGGCAGGAGGTGGGGTTTTGGGAGGGTGTGCGGGCAGCCAGGTGTGACAAATTGATCAGGAGTAGACAGGAACATCTGTGATTGAGAGAGCAAGATAACAAGTTCCAGTTCCAGTTTTTAGGTTTGAATGCCTTCCCATACTCATTTGGGCTTTTACCTATGAATCTTGCAATTAATTTATGGGGGAACTTCCAAGAAACTGACCTCTAAATGGTTTTCATCACACATCTTGAAATAATGTCCCCTGTACTCAGCCGCATGAGTCAATGCTGCAGTTTCTGAGATGTCCACCAGGTGGTAATGTAGGGCCATGCAGACAGGGCAGTACTGGCCAAACTCTCCAAGTCGGCAGTCAAACTCCTTGGGTGTGATGCACAGCTTGTTGATGCAGGCTGCTTGCCCTGGTTAAATCATCATGCGTTGAGTTAAGAGGTTCAACATTTAGGCGCATGTAAAACATTTAGCCCATGAGTTTGACAGCATCTTGAGGGGATTTCTGGTGAAATAAACCAGCTTAAACTCTTCTTGAACTTACCCTTCTGTATCCTGTCCAGGTAAGTTTGAATATATTTCATGCTGGTGCTGACCTCTTTTATCATTCTGTCCCAGATCCACCATTTGCTCTTGAGGCCATTGAGAAGCAAGCAGTTTTGATATTGTTGTTGGAAGTGATGCCTCACATGCACCACCTCCTTCTTGTAGCAGGAATTACGAATGTGTAGGATCTCAGAGCTATCGTGCGTCAAGTGAGGCCTAAAGTGTAAGAACAAAGGAAACACAAGAAGATTATAATTTTTGCAATTATAATCAGCTGTCAGACCTAAAATCTGTCATTATATTTATAAGTTCTGTGTTCTCTGACTTGTTGGGCTTCATCTTGTCTGCAAGACCTCTCTTCAGCACCTCCACTATGTCCAGCTCTAGCTCAACTACTATCATGGGGATGATGCTCTGAGACCCCATCAGTTCTGCCTGCTTAAGGGTCATTGGAAACCCATCAAGCACATATCTGAAATACCAGAAATATCATAGTATATTAGATACACACTAAACCAACAAAAATAGAGTAAATTATACAGTCTTGACTTAAAAAAAACAAAATCCATGCCAAAGATTAAGTTCGGATCGCACCTAGCATTGAGTTTTGCTAAGTATTAACACATACATGTGATAAACCCTTTGTCTTTACCCTTGCATGCTACAGACTGAGTTCATCAGTGCCACCTCCAGACACTGAATGGCCAGTTCATCAGGCACAACAAGGCCCTGTAAGAGATACTCTTTCATCTGAATAGCCAGATCGGTGTTCCCCTGAGTGTCAAGCACCATACGCATAACGCTACCAATGGACAGCTGAGCCAAGCCATATTTCTGAGAAAAAATTTGTGCCACTGAGGAAGCAGAAATACAAAAAGTAAAATAAAAGAAATGAACATAGTAAAAAATGTAATAAAGTTCATTTTTAACTATCTTGTATCTTACCGGTGGTCTTTCCAGATTTTGGAGGTCCAATCACTGCTATTTTAATAGGAAGTGACGTGGTGGGCTTGGGCTGCCGCAGGTACTTTAAGGGGTTGAGCATAAATGTGTTACAGTTCTCCTTAGATGCAAAGAAGTAGATATACTGATGGAACAGCAGGAGGTATGTTGTGTTGAAAGGCCACTTCAGAGGCTGGATCAGGTCTCTTTCTTTGTGTAGCTACAGGTTGGAAATGGATGAAAAAAATGTTAAAGTATACTTTATGAAGGACATTTTATATATTTGTTTTTTCTGTCAACATTTCAGCTTAAAACAAAGGAGTAATTATATTAAAATATTTCTTGGAACTATTGGAAGCACAGCTGACGTTCCTAAACCCTGCCTACCTTGATGGGGTCCAGGAAGCCAAAGGCACTGAAGAACTTAAAAGAGGAGAGCAGCAGTTTGCATGCCAGGCTGTAGGGGATGGGGTGGCATTTTTGGAAGAGTGACTCCCTGTTGGTCAACAAGGGTTTGATTTTCTTGAGCAGCTGACACTGAACAATGCGTAGTTTGCGAGACGCATTGATGACCATTCTGGGTATATTGTGTTCACCTAGGAGTTCCTAACAATAGAACAACATATAGCACCATATATAAGATCCAACTAGTTTTATTGTAAAATACAAATATTTTAAAGTAAAGTCTTGTTGTGAATATGAAATACAAGTAGAATTGATCAGGGCTCATTTTTGTTTTGTGCATATGTACCATCACAGAACTAAGGTTGGTCTCTTGTGTCACAAAACGCTCTTTTATTCCTATCTCCAGCCTGTTGGTAGCTAGTTCCTCAGTCTCCTCATTCTCGATGTCTTCCTCATCCT